TTATTTTATTTGTAAATTACTATGATTTTAAATTGTTATGTTGCTTATCTTATAATGATAATATATAATCTCGAAAATATAAAAAAGGAAGCATAATATGTAAGCATAAAAAATAAAAATAAAATTATAAATCTTCTTGTATTTTGGATTACTCTAATTAATAGATTTTTAAAAAAAATCTAAATCCATCTTAAATGAATTCATATCTTAATACTCGTATTTAAACTAAAATCAATGTCATGATGTCAAAAATCTAAATTCATCTCAAATGAATTCATATCTTAATACTCGTATTTAAACTAAATCAATGTCACGATCTCAACTACTTTGTCTTTCGTGATGGACACGAATTTCAAAAGTATATAAGCGATGGGCACAACTCAGACTAATTAATAAAGGTGAAAAGTGAGCCAACATATTTTTATTAGACTTTATTAAGAAATAGGAAAATATAAAACAAAAAGAAAATAAGAAATATAAATAAGAAGGGGTGGGAAGTGTTACAAAAAGAACTCTGTCTGAATCATCTAATTATTTTGGAAAGGGAGTTTAAAATTCACAAAGTTTCCAAACCTCTTTGATTAATAATTAATATAGAATTAAATATTTTTTATTAATGAAATTTTTTTTCTTCCTTTGTTTCAAATGATAATTCTAATTTGTAACAACTTTTTTGTTATCATAATTGTTAAATATTTAATTATACTAACAAAAAAAAAAAAAGTTGTAAAATTTATTTAAAATCATTTTTAAATGTATATTTGGGATGTCAGAGTGGGACGTTAAATTTTTAAATGTGTATTGTTATATTTTCTGATCGGGTTCAAGAAGGACTATTATACACTTACACAGCAAGATAGTCTCTCTCTTGTTGACAGTGTTTGAGGGCTCGTGTTCTTTTTTCTTTTCTTTTTTTTTTTTATTTAGCAAATTGTTCTGCTCTAAGTTGTCAAATTGAGTTGGTATTTTGTTTACCTGGTCCGGTTTTGATGCTGTCATGGAGGTCTGTATTGGGTTCAATCCATCCCCTGAATATGCCAAATTATAAAGAAAGTGTTCGAAGATCGATTCCATAAAAGAAAAAGGTTACCCACAAATCTGTTTCTTTTACTTGTTCTGATTATCTGTACACATATATACGTCCATATATATATATATATATATATTGTTGTTAGTCAGGTGTCCCTTTTGTTCTGCGTTTCATTTGAGGAATTTTAAGCATCCCCATTTTTGTTCTGTTTAGAATCTGAATCTTTTTTGGCCTTATTTTTAAAGAAAGGAACATTCTTGCTTGATTTCCATGGATGGTTGGGTTTTAGTGTCTTCTGATTATGGTTTTCACTTTTAATTTCTGCTTCTTTTTTTTGCTCCACTAGATTTCTGTTCTTGTGAATCATACAGCCTTTAAAGCCAGTCACAATTTTCTTGTATTAAATAGTATTTGGGGATAGTGAAAATCATAAAAATCAATCACTCTATTAAATAGATTACTGTTCTTGTATTAAATAGTATTTGGGGATAGTGAAAATCACTCTATTAGAACTTCTATTGGGTTCACCTTGTTTGTATATCATCAAACAAATACTTCTGTTTTATTTTTATTTTTATTGATAAGTAAAACATTTGCTTCTGTTTGGAACACCATGCCTTTTTTTCTTTCATCCCCTCCCGATTTTAAGAGTTGTTTACTAAACTTGTGCCTCCTATTCCTTACGTGCGTAATGGCTTTAGTGATTAAAGTAAAATCCAATGCAGTTCTTCATTTATGCTTCCAAGATAAAGATTTGGAAATAATATGTTATTTATTGTGAAATAGAATCAACAATGTGTCAATGTGGTGCAAATATATATAACGTCAAATTACTTAACAGAATTATCAAACCATGCTTGGTGGAAAGTCATGACTGATGATACAACCGACTTGAGTTATTGGTTAAACTGGAGGTTCCTCCTCTGTGCAATATGGGTCTTAGCAGCCATGGTAGGATCAGCATTTTTAATATGGAAATATGAAGGTTTCAACAAATCAAGTAATGGAAGAAGAGATAGTCAGAGAGAAACTGCAGGGTCTTTGTACAAGGATGAAGCTTGGAAGACATGTTTGAAAACAATCCATCCTGCTTGGTTGCTTGCTTATAGAATAACTGCTTTCAGTGCGCTTTTAGCATCGCTCATCGCTAATGTTGTTCTTGTTGGAGGTGGCATATTTTATACTTATTCTCAGTAAGCCATTTATTATATTGATTTTTTATCGTTATTCTCATAATGGCTCCAATGTAATGTGGACTTATTCTAATTTTTTCTGTTCCGAATACCTTTTTCATAAGATGTTTTCACAGTCTCAATATTTAATTTAAATGTCTCCCCATATTCTAGTTTTCTTGGCTAACTAAGTTTAAATTTTGAACCTTCCCTTAGAACATATTTGCTAATTTGGAAATAATTCTTGGCTAAGTAGGCTCTTTCTGACTTTTGCTTAAATTGTTTTTCTTAATTGTTATTACTGTTCAGAGTATTCTATAAGAAGTTAGAAAGCTCCGTTTTACTTTCAACAAAACCTATTATGTGAAGGCTTTGAAAACCATCCTTAACATGATAAACATGACATAAAAAATGGTTGATCAAGAAAAATAAGGATCAAATATTGCGCTGACTTGAATTTGTTTTTGATTTTTCATGGTGCGGAACAGATGGACACTTGCATTGGTGACAATATATTTTGGGGTACCTAAACCATTCCTACACCCTCCAGAGTAGAGTTGTCAATGTGTTTATGTTTATATATTTGGTTACATTTGGTAGACATGGAAATGTAATGAACCTCTTTAATTTTCAACTTTTTGGACCATCAGAAAGATGGTCCTATATTGTAATTGTATATGTTTGTTCATATAATTTGAACAAAATTTTCCATTGAGATAAAGTGAATCAAAATCTAAAGGTCATTGATTCAATTGTTCAAATTTTATTTTAATTTCAGATTTTGTGCTTATGTCAAATTTTCACTTAGGAATGTCCATTTTAATGTAAATATGGTGCTTATGTTGTCAATTGGATTTTGTAGCTTGGATCTTCATTATCCATTTATGGATGTTGCCAAAGTTGCAATGAAGTTGGTGGTGATAGGGTTGATCGCGTGGGTTTAGATGCAGAGCGAGGCAATTATGTGGCTCCTACTTTTGAGGAAAATGAAAATATGCCCACCATGTCCAGAAGCTTGAATACCCACGAAGAACCTCATATACATAAACCAGCCAGCATATGGGGCTATGCCTTTCAAATTACTTTCCAGGTAAGTGCTCTCCATCAATTCTGTTTCTTACCTGAACTAATTTACAAAAAGTTGTAACTATACAAAATTGCATCCAAGATTCCCATTCAGTTGTCATCTATTGATTCTCTAGATTGTGCTTAGAATGCAACAGTATCATTTCTTGGTGCTTGGTCCATTATCTTGGATAAATCAATTATTTAATAATATAATCTCCGATTCCTTATATAATCTCACGGCTTGACCTTATGACCCACAGAGTTGAACTGCTAGCCTAGCGATCTGTCTCTACATGACGCATAGTTTGGGCTTAAAACATTGAGTAAGAACTTTGTTATCATTCCCACTATTGAAAATATGATATTTAGGGAGGAGATAATCTTAAAATTACTGTGTCACCATTTGTGTTAGAATATAACAGTTTGAATTGTTTGAGCATATGCGTTTATGATTTTACCTCCAAACCGAAGTGGAAACAACAGCTAGTCCTGGCATAACATTATAAATAAACGATGGACATCAAGGGGCCAAAGGCATTAGATATGGACCAGCATAGAGAAAGACTAACAGGGAATTAGGGATATGATCATCAGTCTTAACCTAGTCCTTAACCTGGCTAGCTTTTAATCAGGTGTACGAAAGCCAAGCAGTGCATGGTCACTAGTGGACCAGAAATATCTTGGAGCCCTCTATTTGGTGGAAATGCTTGTAGAATGCAAACATGCCTGTGATATGTGAGTCATAATATTAACTGTTTAAGCTGTCCTTTCTAGTAACAATGATATCTGGTGCTTACTCATCCTGATTTATATGTGTCCTTTGATTTAACTAAAAAACCTTGATTTGTTTGAGCTAAATTGTTAGAATTATCCAGCGGCGGGAGCCTCGTGCACTGGGCTAGCCCTTTTTTTAAAATTTTCATTTTCTAGATAGTAGGCTAATAATCAGGTTCTCAAACTTATTTTGGTACTAATTATTTTGCAGGCCTTTTTTTTTCTTTTTTCTTTTTTGTATCACCCATTCCTCCAATATTACCAATCAGATGTCTCCTAGTCATGAAAAGTGAAGTTAATGTAGCAGTTTTATGGAACTTACCACATTTCCTCTATTCACTTCAATTGGAAGGTGAGAGAAGTGGGAGGGAGATGAAGAGAGATCATTTGTGGTGAGGAGTATGCACTATTGCGTCTTACCTAGATAGATTTGATGTGAGGGTTGTGATGGCTTTAGATGTGGTTTATTCCTACTAGCCGAAGCACGCACATTGCATGTGAGAGATAAGCTACAAAATACACTACCTTATTATTTTTTATAATTATTCTGGTTAATGGAGAATCTATTCTTTGATGACCAGTTGTTTTAGTTTGTATAGTTGGAATATAAGAATTGTGACATTTACAAGAAACATACTTCTAAAGTATTTTTTTAAGATATATTAATTTTTGTAGGCTTTAATGCTCTATTTTATTGAAAGCTTGCGCTATTGCCAAGCAGGACTTCCAAGTAGGGGAAGTTCTTTTGATTGGTATTGCCCGGCCCTTCTATGGCCTCTTAAAAAGTGTTTTTCTATACATTTCTATTGCATTCTATCTTCTTCTTTTTTTCATAATTGGTTTTGTATAAAAGAAAGAAAAAGTATTTGCAGGCGCACAGAGGGCATTCCCTCAGAATAAAACAGAAATGGAAAACCTATTTCAGAAAAAGAAATGAAATATAAACAAATCAATCTAAATAATGTCTCTAAGAGGGACATTGTAAACATCAAGAACTTCAAATAAAACCTATTGCATTCTATCTCATCCAGGGGAGGGGTTACTTACTTTGGTCAAAGCGAGTACTTTCACTCCTCTTTACCCGCCTACCCTGCTTCTGTTACCAATCACCATCTTCAACAAGAAAACGAAGGAATCTGTTTGTGAAACAGCGCGTTTTCAATGTTCTGTTCTTCTGCTAAGAGCCCATTTTCTGCTTGTTGAGACTGACAAAAAAGAGCTGTAGGACGGCCGCATTCAATTAATTCATTGGGTTTCACGTGTTAGCTGCTGTGAGCCCCTATCTGACTCTCGTGTTAATTCATATTCATCTTCTTACTCACTCTTTAAGCTTGCTTGCACTAAATACCTTAGATCGGCCACTAGGCCTCTATCTCGAAATATCAAGGTTTGTTTGTGAGTTCACTCACTCTCAACTCACCTACAGTACTGGTCGCTGTACTCCATCTCTCTCATTTCAAGGACAGCAAGAGGCTTTCTAAGTGCATTTCCTTATTCTAACTATGACCTCTTTCACTCATTCTTCTTATTCTTATATATCTATCTCTCTGTCTTAATCTCTTAACAACGCTCGTGAAATTGGCTAGATGTCCATTGCTCTTTTTGTAAGTGTATGGTTATATGAGAAGGGAATAGACTGGCAGACCCTTGTTTTCCTTTGACGTGCCGGCTCTCTATCATCTTCCATTACTCTCTTATCATATGAGAAAATTCCATAAGTGAGGCAAAATTCCTTATACTTTTGCTTAGGGGAAAGGACAATGGAACCTGTTGTTGAAGGTTGTGAACCGTACTAGTATTATGAGGTTTTAAAATTTTAATTTATATGAATGAGTAAATGACTAAAAGGGTTATAATTCATATTTTGATAAAATTTTATAATAATGGTTGAGCCACATTGTTATTAAATAATCCGTGAATTGCTTCTTCTTTTTTTTATCCATTCGATCAAGTGTCAGGTTAGGCGATGTCATACACTTGACCCAATGGATGAGGGCATGAGCTCATTGTGAGAGTTCCCTCATCATGGCATTTCTCTTTCAATTATTATGACTGTAATCATGAATATTGTTATTAAACTTCTCATAATATTTTTACTTATATGTATTAATTTTAACAGTTAAGTTGATTAATGTACAAATTTAAAGTTTTTTATAAAATGTATTTATGTTATTCACATTGACAATCAAATATGTTTTTTAAACTATAATCCATGTCATTGCCATGGAAACTCAATGAAGAAAAATAGATATTAGAACGGGAAATGTCCAAAAACAGAAAAAGTGCCAAAAGACCATTAAAAAATATAATTCGGTTAAAAAATGTTGCAACTATATTCTTACATGATATAAAACCCACCAAAGAAAGGTACCATTCCATCAATTGCTTATTAAAAAAAAGGTACTATTCCATCAATCACCATCTTGGGTCCTCAATTTTAAACCCACTTCTCTATACCAAGCCACCATTAACATCAACATCACTGTAAACACCATTACTATTGTCAACTTAACATCAGGAGAAGTTATCATGGTCCAGGACCATCCAATTTCAACCATTAATAACGGGAGAAATTATTATGACCATCTAATGTCAACCTTAACATAGAGTTTTGATTGGACTGAACCACCAAGCGGCTTATGGTCTATGACCATCTAATTAGACGAAGCTATTCTGATCCTCATGGCCAACAACTTATAGACCATATATCACCACCATCATAAGCCATTAGAGCATCGCATTCAAACCCTAGGAGAGTCAGAGAGACTCTTTTTCTAGAGCCTCCCTGTCTTTGTTCACACTTTCACTTTGTACGCCCTACGACACTGTTCTAGTGTCACTTTCTTGTACCTCAGATCGAGTATCAATTAGGTATTAGGGGTACCGTCAAATCAGTATTTCTTAAACAGGAGGTTAAAATTATTTCACAGTTGGGCTTTTAGAAATAGGATTTCGTAGTTTGGGTTTATATTTATAAGGAATACTTGTACAGAATATTTTAGAGTGAAGAATTTTTTGGAGTTTTTAATATTTTTCAGGAAAAAAAAAAAAAAAAAAAGTAACTCTTTCTTTTGGACAAACAGGCTTGAAAGGAATGGAGCTTTTTAAGCATTCAACAGCCAATCACAATATTAGCCAATTCAAAACCTTATTTGGTATGAGCACAGGTTCATGAAATATACATTTTAGTTATAAGTTCATAATAAATGAAGAATTTTAAGTGCAATTTCTTTAAGAGAAGCCCATAAAAGCAAAACATATATCAAACATATTTAAGAGTTAGAGAAATAAGTTTATACGTCATGTGAAGTGGTCCAACTCTTTCATTTTCATCATTGAATTTAGTAGACTAACTATCAAGAGTGAACAATATGAAGGCTTCTATTTAGTGACTTAGGCTAATATATTCAGGACACCATGTCAAGTTTCTCTTTTTTAGCTTATAAAAAATTAATTGCAATAATGAATTACAAGAAACTCACTCCCAAGTACCAATCCTCTTTGTGCCTCTTTGGCTTGGGGGTTAGCTCATGTAGTCAACCTTTGGTCGGGAATTTGAGGATTGGTGGAGAGAGGAGAGAGAAAGTCACTCCCAAATAAATAGTCAGAATAATATGTGTACCTAATACAGAGTAATTTTTTGTTAATATTGTTTTTCCTATGTGAAAAATAAATAATAATAAATAAATAAACAAATTGATTTTTAGTAAAGTAAAAATTAGTACAATTGTTGTTAAACATCTTGCATCGAATAGTAATAGTATACCAGATATTGGCATGGTATCACTTCCGCTGTTATAATTAGCTGGAATTGAAATTTTGATTGTAAACCAAAAAATATTATCAATCAATTGAGAAAAAATCACTATAACTTGTCAATATAGGATAATAACATATTATTGTAAATTTTATTGTGCAAATATAACATGGCACATATATGGCGTTTGAGTATTGTTGTCTAATTTTTCTTTTTCCTTTCAATTACCAACTCTTTTATAAGTAGTATGTAACTTAGATATTTCAGAAGTATCTTGTTGAGATTTCTTTTTTCATTTTCTTTTCTTCTCCTCCCGTAAAAAGATTTGTGCAGGTGCGGTGATGCTCACTGATTGCTTCTTTTGGTTCGTGATCTATCCATTTAACACTGACAAAGATTTCAAATTGGATTTTGTAAGTTTGAACCCTCTAGTTCGTTTTGTTTATTTTCTTTTGTGGAATCATATTTGTGAGTACCAATTCTATAAATATATTAGTGGCAAAAAAAAAGGAAGCACTTGAAGATGCCTTCATAAATGAATAGTTTTCTTTGACTAATGACAATAATAAGTCTTGTTTCTTTCGGCTATTTCAAGTGGAAATCAATTCTCTTTTCATCCCATTTGAGATATTTCTTTCTCTGAATAATAGAAGGCAGAAATTCGGCTAAATGATCCTTTTGCTATTTGATCAAGATTTATGGAGAACATATTTGACAACTATTGAGAAAGCTAGGTTTAGTTAGTTATAAATCGCTGTCTTGAACTGCAGTAACATGATATCATGGTCATTAGTTTTTTTTTTTTTTTCCTGACAATGAGGATTTCATGGTCATTAGTTGACCCCTCTCAGAATGTAGTAAGTTAGATGCTGAACATATAAATAGACACAAGCATCCATGCTGGCATTATTTATATTTCATGCTACATTCATGAACATAAAAAAATTATACAACAAAGACCTACAGTGATTTGCATCTGCTTATCATTTTCTTTTATTTTATTTGTGGATCTAGTTGAGGAAATGTTCTATAATTGCAGCCGCGGGTGATTATGCATTCAATCAACGTTGTTTTCTTCCTCGGTGATGTGATTTTGAATTGCTTGGTATGTTACAGTCTCGTAATGTTTCAAAACGAAATTATTTTTGATATTTTATCCATGACCAACAAAAATTTTCTGCTCCCAGCGGTTCCCTTTATTCCGAGTTGCGTATTTTGTTTTATGGACAGTTATATACGTCATTTTCCAATGGATCAGCCATGCTTTTGTTTCAATGGGGTATGTTGGATTCTTTTTTTCTTTTTCTTTTTTTTTTTTGGGTCCTTTTTAAGCCATTGACTAATTTTAGTTTCAATTCGTGATAATCATCTTGTTGCAGGTGGCCATATGTATTTTTGGACTTGTCATCCCGATATGCTCCCTTATGGTATGTATTTATATACATACGGCTGTATATTTTCCAAAATAATAATAACTATTAGTATTATAATTTCTTTTGTTATTGTTGCTATTGTCTTATGTATCTAATTTCCATTACCTCATTGTGAGATCAATATCCCATTTTCAACATAAACCAACAGGAAACTATTAGCAAAAAGTTTCTACCTTAAAGATATAAAAGAAAACAATACAGAATGCATGTCCCTTAAAGAGCTTAAATTCCGAAAAGGGACAAGAATTTTGGGAGGGAGGTATTTTCTTTTTGCATTTATCAAATGAACTAATGGTGGGATTTTGGGATTTTTAGTACTACAATAGATATCTTATAATTAAATTAGTTTCTTCGTATATCACCACATAATCACACATACAAATTATTTTCTGGAATTTATCATGGTCTGGCTGACCGCTTCTTGATGGGAGAAAATTTTACCAAGTAAATTTGTGAGCTTGAATAATTTTTGACATTAAATATTGTTAGGTACTTGTTAATTGGATTGCTGCTTCTCCCATGCTATGGCTTTTTCGCTCTTCTAGTAAGGATGAAGCAACTTCGATTTTCGATATCATTCCCGGAGTCCTATCAGAGCATGAGGTGAAAGGTCCAAATGTCGTCCATATCTGTAAAAAAAAAAAAAAAAAAAAAAAAAATCTGGGCAGATATCCAGTAGAGATGTATTTTTACTTTCCGGGAAAAAACAATATATACTTTTTCTTCTCTTGATATTATTTTTGGGAGAAGTGTTAGATGCGGTAGAAAATGAATATACAACTTGTTGCGTGATGATGCATGTCTTCTAATATATGTTCGATTTGGAATTAGAGAAAATTTAGTTCAAACTTGAAATTTAGTATAAAGTTTGAACTAATTTTTTTTCAATTTCAAACGCAAGCATCTTGATGGTTTTCTTATGCATGGGTCTTTTTGCTATTTTTTTTTTTCCTATTTTTTTTCATTTTTTTATATGGAGGTTAGGGTTTGATGGGAGGTTATGTATGTACTGTGGTGCAATTTTTGAGGAATGAATGAATCAAATGCTTACGTGGACCAAGTGTATCGGGTCCTTCTGAGATTTGAGAAGGAGTGAGACTCGGGTGGGCAAAAGGGTCAGCCCACCCAGACCCAGTTTTTTTAAAAAAATTCACAGCACCTCATTTCATGCATATCAAATCCACGATAGAGTTTCTTCGTGAGTTTATTGTTCAAAATTCAGTAATTATTACTTTGTAATGAATAAAAGAAAATTTAAAAAACAACCATGTCACAAGTTAGGTTAGTAACTCCAAATAACATTATGCCAACAAAAATAAATAAATTCAATTGCAACTTTATCTTATTTATATGAATAGTATATTGTTATAAAAATATAACAAACTCGTACAATTTTCTTGTATTTCAAGTTACTCTTAGTATATTTTTTTTAATCTAAATTCTGAATAAAATAAATTCAGATTCTAATATTTAAACTTAATCTTGATATCTGAATTGCTCAACCATGCTAGTAGCAGTCCCTTCGGAAACATCCCATAAAACCCATGCTAGTAAAAATTTTGAACAAAGATTCGAGACATTCGAGTTGTTTATCCTACATTAAACTATTCAAATGATTGTGACTCGAGCTTAATTCAACTTATAAAATTTCAAGTCCAAATTTAACTTGATGTTTAATTGAAATTATTCTTTTCAAAATTCAATCCAACCTCAAATTTTAAACTCCCATTAAAATAAACCAGATTAAAATTTGTTTTGATCCCAAGTTAGTCTTAAGCTATGTCAAAAAAAAAAAAACTAAAAACGGATAAAAATATATTCTTAAAAAAAACGTATAGACATTAATCATATAAGAAACTCTCAAAAATCATTACTATAATATATTAATATTCAAAAAAAACATACACTAGGTTATGTTCTGCCTAATTCGACCCCAAGAAATTTAACTGTATAAAATAATAATAATAATAATAAAAAAATTAACGCAGTGAAAAGATTATTGTGCTACTCAGTAAATGATAATTGGTTTCTTTTTCTTTTCTTTTTTTTAAATTAGAAAATTGTACAACTATAATAAGTTGTCCAAATTGAATTAGTATTTGTTTACTGGTCCGATTTTGATGTTGTCGTGGATGTGTGCATGTGGTTGTGGTGGCTTTTTCTCCAGAAGCTACACCAGTTTCTGTTTGTCACTTCTTCGTGTTGAAGATGACCTACCAATCCATCGAAAGTGTTTAGTGGAAGAAGAAACGGTTAGACAATCGATCTCATCAAAGAAAAGGTAACCCACAAATCTGTTTCTTTTTTACTTGTTCCGATTATTTATACACATATATGCGTATATATATTTGTATCTATATATATATATATATGCAGAGTGAGAGGGACTGAGGGAGCCGGGAGGTGACCCTTTAATCTTCTCTCTCTAAAAGTATAGACAGTAGCAAAGCATCCCCATTTTGGTTCTGTATTTCATTTGAGGAATTGTTGGCATCCCCATTTTTTTTGTGCTTAGAATCTGAAACTTTTTTGGCCTTGTTTTTATTTCCATGTACTAATGTGGCCAAAAAAGTTGGGCTTTTATGTGTATGTTGCCTATGAACAACAACATTGTAGTTCTTGGGTGGGGGCTAAGGGCATTTATGTTGGTACTGGTTGAATTTTGAGATATGATTTGGGAGCACCGACTCGGCACATTGAATTTGGAATTGAAGGAAATTTAGTCGGACATGGGTTTAATTTCTGCTTCTAGATACTTTCTTGCCCAAATATATGTTTCTTTATTGTGCTCCACTGGATCTCTGTACTTATGAATCATACCCGCTTTAAAATTAGTCACAATTTTCTTTTTGACTAAGGCTCCGTTTGACGTAAATTATATATATATATATATATATATATATTATTTTTTCAGTAATTGGCAAAAGGTCTAGGTCGGAGGATATGTAAAATAACTTGTGGAAAATTAATGGATAATTTTTGAAAAATATTTTGAATCCAAACAAACTCCCCCTAAATGTCCTCAATTCCAAATCCAAGGTGTTTCTGTGCTCCGAGGCATTGGTTTTAGTTTTTGTTTGCTAATACTTTCTTGCACAATTATCTGCTCCTTTCCTGTGCTCCATTAATTATACAGGCTTTAAAATAAGTCACAATTTTCTTTTTTTCTTTTTTCTTTTTCTCAACTGGTTTGGCTGCTGGATAGTTTAGTTTCGATCGATCAACTGGAAGGCTTTGATTTATAAGTATTCTGAGTAAAAATTTCATATAGTAATTGGGGATAGTGAAAATCACTCTATTATAACTTCTGTTGGGTTCACCTTGTTTGTAACTTTGTATATCATCAAACATCTGCTTCTGTTTGGAACACCACACGGCTGAAGTTTGGATTCGTTGTCTCCTTTTTATTTCGTTCGTTGTTTTCCTGAACTTTTACCTCCTATTCCTTACATGCTTAATGGCTTTAGTGATTAAATTAAATCCAATGCAGTTCTTTTTTATAATGCTTCTAAGATAAAGATTTGGAAATATTCTGTCATATAAATGTGAAATGGAGTAAAAAATGTGGTGCAAATAGAAATAACATTGGGTTTCTTAACAGAATTGTCAAACCATATTTGGGAAGGTCATGTTTGACGACGATACAACCGTCCTGATTTATTGGTTAAACTGGAGGTTCCTCCTCTGTGCAATATGGATGTTATCAGCCATGGTAGTATCAGTAATTTTAATACGGAAATATGAAGGTTTCAACAAATCAAGAAATGGAAGAAGAGATAATCAGCGAGAAACCGCAGGGTCTTTGTACAAGGATGAAGTTTGGAAGACATCTTTGAAAACAATCCATCCCGCTGGGTTGCTTGCTTATAGAATAACTGCTTTCAGTGTACTTTTGGCATCGATTACTGCTAACGTTGTTCGTGATGGAGTCAGCGTATTTTTTTTTTACACTCAGTAAGCCATCTATTATATTGTTTTTTCATCTTTGTTCTCACAATGGCTCCAATGTAAACGTGGTCTTAATGAGCTTTAAACGATTATTTTTTTTTTGCCATCTGTTTGGAGTTGTTTTTTTAGTTAATGATTTCTTTTGGCATTACTTATACCTTTTTTGGTAAGATGTTTCTTGTCATAGTCTCCTCAATGATTAATAATTGTATCTACAAATTATAGTTTTCTTGGCTAAAAAGTATAAAGTTTAAGCATTGAATCTTCCCTTATAACATTTTGACTAATTTGAAAATGATTCTTGGCTAAGTAGGCTTCTTTCTGACTCTTGCTTAAATTGTATTTCCTTAACTGTCATCACTGTTCTGAGCATTCTATAAGAAGTTAGAAAGCTTCCCTTTTATTGTCAACTAAGCTTATTATGAGAAGGCTTTGAAAACCTTCTTAACATGAAAAACATGAGATGGAAAATGGTTGATCACAAAAAATAAGGATGAAATGTGCCAACTTTGCTGACCCTTTTTTTTTTTTTTTTTTTTTGTGATATTTCTTGGTGCTGAACAGGTGGACATTTGCATTGGCGACAATATATTTTGGGGTATTTACTTCATCCCTATACCCGTCTGCATAGATTTGTCTGTGTGTGTATACATTTTTAGTTGGCATGGAAATGTAGTGAACCTCTTTAATTTTTTAACTTTTTTGACCATAAAAAAGATGGGGCCTATATTGTAATTGTATATGTTTGTTCAGATAATTAGAATAAAATTTCCACTAATATAAAGTGAATCAAAATTTAAAGTCAAATTTTGTTTTATTTCAAAATTTGTGTTTATGTGAATTCTTTACTTAGGAATGTCCATTTCTATGTAAATATGGTGCTTATGTTATCAATTGGAATTGGTAGCTTGGATCTTCATTATCCATTTATGGATGTTGCCAAAGTTGCAGTGAAGTTGGTGATAGGGTTGATCATGTGGGTGACGATGCAGAACTAGGCATGTACGTGGCTCCTACTTTAGGGGAAAATGCGAATATGCCCACCATATCCAAAAGCTTGAATACCGACAAAGAACCTCATATTCGTAAACCTGCAGGCATATTGGGCTACATTTTTCAAATTACTTTCCAGGTAGGTTTTCTCCATCAATTCTGTATCTTCCCTGAACTAATTTACAAAAACTTGTAAATATACAAAATTGTATCCAAGATTCCCATTTAGTTGTCATCTATTGATTCTCTAGATTGTGCTTTTGAATGCGACAATATCATTTCTTGGTGCTTGGTCTACTATCTATTTTGGAGAAATCAGTTATTCAGTAATATAATATCCCATTCCTTATATAATCTCACAGTTCAGCCCTATTACCCACGCAGTTGAACTGCTAGCCTAGCAATCTTTTTCTTATTTGGGTCTACATACGGTTTGGGTTTAAAACATTGAGTAATAAGTTTGTTATTTTTCTCACTATTGAAAATATGATAGTTAGGGAGGTGGTATTCTTAAAATTACTGTGTCACCATTTGTGTCAAAATATAACAGTTTGAAAAGTTTGAGCATATGTTTTTACAATTTTATCTCCAAACAGAAGTGGAAACAACAGCTAGTCCTGGCATAACCTTATAAATAAATGATAAACATAAATGGGCCAAAAGCATTAGAAATGGACCGACATAGAGAAAGACTAGCAGGGAATCAGGGATATTATCATCACTCTTAACCTAGTCCTTAACCAGGCTAGGTTTTAATTAGAATGTGCCAAAACCAAGCATGCATGGTCACTGGTGGACCAGAAATGTCTCGGAGCCCACTATGTGAGATGAATTGAGGGTATGCAGTTATTATCTTGGTGGAAGTGCTTGTAGAACGCAACCATGCCTGTGACACGTGAGTCATAGCCTCATATGCTTAACATTGACCACTTTGGTTTACTGTTAAAGCTGTCCTTCTTTCTAGTAACAATGATACCCGGTGCTTACTCATCCTGAATGACATTTGTCTTTTATTTGTTAACTAAAAAAACTTGATTTCTTTGAGCTAAATTTTTTATTCTTTTTATTTTTCATTTCTGAGTGTGGGCCTTGGTGCAACGTTGCGGAGGTAGGGCTGCGTACATCTGATCCTCTCCTATGGTGGGGGAGCCTCGAGCACTAGACTGCCCCCCTTTTTCTAGATGTTAGGCTAATAACAGGCTCTCAAACTTATTTTGTCATTAAAAAGTGAATCTGTACTAATTATTTTGGAAGCCTTTTTTTGTTTTGCGTCACCCATTCCTCCAATATTACCAATCATATGTCTCGTAGTCATGAAAAAGTGAAGTTCATTAGCAGTTTTATAGAAGTCACCACATTTCCTCTACCCACTTCAACTTGAAGGTGAGATAAGTAGAAGGGAGATGGTTAGAGATTATGTGCGGTGAGGAGTATGCATTATTGCCTTTTGCCTAAATAGATCTCATGTGAGGGTTATGATGCCTTTAGATGTGGTTTATTCCTACTAGCTGAAATGTGCACATTGCATTAGCTACAAAAACACTACACTATTATTTTTTATAATTAGTCTGGTTAATGGAGAATCTATTCTTTGTTTTAATTAGTATTGTTCGAATATAAGAATTGTGACATTCAGAAGAAACATAGTTCTAAAGTAATTTTTATTAAAGGTATATTTATTTTTATATAGGCTTTAATGCTCTATTTTATTGAAAGAACTTGAGTTGTACTATAAGTGAGGCAAAATTCCTTCTACTTTTTCTTAAGGGAGTTGCTTTTCATTTTTGAAGGACAATGGAACATGTTGTTGAAGATTACTAGCCCTACAAGTTTTATAAGGTGTTACAATTTTAATTTATAGGAATGTGTGAAAATGATTAAATGGATAACAATTCATATTTTGATAAATTTTTATAATAATGGTTGAGCCAATTTGTTAATAAATAATCTGTGAAGTGCTTGTTTTTTTTATATTTATAGGGTGACATACAGGGAGCATCTCACTGTTGACTTGCACTCATCACCTATTCTCAGATAACTTGAGGAAATTAATGTAATTTAATAATTGGTCGGAAATGGGAACGGTGGTCAAATATTATAAAGATATTTGATTAATGGAGAATGATTAGTTTTTTGGGAAGACTATTGAACTCATTTCAATTAGGAAAATGTTCTGATGAGGGTGCTCTCATTTGAGCTTGCTTCCTTCTCCACTGGATCAAGTGTCAGGTCACATCATACACTTTGGATGAGGGCACTAGCTCATCGTGAGGGTTCCCTCATCATAGCATTGCTTTTTTAATTATTATGACTGTAATCATGAATATTGTTATTATAATTCTCATAATATTTTTATTTAATTTTAACAGTTAAGTTGATTAGTGTTACAAATTTAAAGTTAACTTTCAAATGTCTTTATGTTTTTCACTCTGACAATCAAATATATTTCTTAACTTTAATCCATGTCATTGCCATGGAAACTCAATGAAGAAAAATAGTTATTAAACATGAGATGTCCAAAAAGAGAAAAAGTGCCAAAAGACCGTTCAAAAATATAATTTAGTTAGAAAATGTTGGAACAATATTCTTACATAAAGATAAAACCTGACAAAGAAATCTTAAATGCCCATTCATTTATAAAAATCTTATACCAAGAGCTACATTGTTGTATCAAGTACCATTCCGTCAATCACCATGTTGGGTCTTCAATCTTTACCTCACTTCTCTATACCAAGCCACCATTAACATCATCACTTTGTAACACCATTACTAATGTCAACCTCAACATTTATGGTCCAGGACCACCCAATTTCAGCCATTAACATCGGTAGAAATTATTATGGTTTAGGACCATCTAATAATTTATGTCAAAATTGAAGAGAAATAGAATGTGAAGAACATAAGGTTAGCCACTAGGGTTTACATCCATGACACACAAAGTTCAAAGGGGTACATCTCTTTCATTACATTCTCTCTTGATTTTAATTACAATAACCACCTCTATTTATACGTGAATTGGGAAGACTTGTAGAATTAGAATAGAAATTTCTTGTTCTACAAGTATTTTATAATAAAGAATGTATACAGAAAGTCCAATACAAATATGACAACAACATGTTGCCCAAATATAGCAACGTTAACATTTTGGTAAGGAGTGATTTAACTATAATTATTCTCCAATACACGGAGATTTAACTCAAGTGTCCAACTTGAAACTAAAGATGAAGTTGTCGAGAGTTTGAGACGAGTAAATCTCAGATGAGTTGATCTGAAGATTCGAGACCAGTTGATTCGAAGATCCAAGACAAGACAGTCTCGATAAGAGTTTATTAGAAGATCCGAGACGAGTTAATCCAGATATCTAAGACGAGTTGATCCGAAGATCCAAGACGAGTAGGGTATGATAAACCTGCTCTGATACTATGTCAAAATTGAAGAGAGAAATAGAACATGAAGAAAACAAGGTTATACGTGGTTCAACCACTAGGGATTACATCCACGACACACAAAGCCCGAAGGGTACATCTCTTCCATTACATTTTCTCTTGATTTTATTTACAATAACTACCTCTATTTATAGGTGAATTGCGGAAGACTTGTAGCTAGAGAATAGAAATTTCTTGCTATACAAGTCCTTTATAATAAAGTAATTATACATAAAGTCAAATACAAATATGGAAACTACTGTTGCCCAAGTATAGCAACGTTTCTGTCCAGGAGTGATTTAAGGGCTTAAATCACTTCTATAATTATTCTCCAACAATTTCTTTAGGGTTAGACAAGCTGTTCTTATCCTCATGGCCAACAACTTACAGTATCACCACCATCATAGGCCACTAGAGCATTGCACTCAAACTCTAGGAGAGAGAGAGAGAGAGAGAGAGAGAGAGAGAGAGAGAGAGAGAGTCTTTTTCTAGAGTCTCCCTGTCTTCGTTCACACTCTCACTTTGTATACCCTACGACAGTGATTTAGTGTCACTTCCTTATACCTCAGCTTCAGTATCAATTAGGTATTAGGGGTACTGTCAAATCAGCATTTCTTAATGGGAGCTTAAAATTATTTCACACTTAGGCTTTTAGAAATAGGATTTCATAGTTTGGGTTTTTATATGCAAGGAATATTTATACGGAATTTCTTTTGGAGTGAAGAATTTTTTGGAGTTTTTAATATTTTCGAAAAAGTAACACTGTCCTTTGGAGAATCAGGCTTGAAAGGAATGGAACTTTTTAAGCATTCAAGAGCCAATAGCCATGAGTCATTAGCCAATTAAAAACCTTATTTGGTATGACCAGAGGTTCATGAGATAAACATTTATAAGAATAGTTATGGGTTCATAATGAATGAAGAATTTTAAGTGCAATTTCTTTAAGAGATGTCCACAAAAACAAAACATATATTTCAAACATATTTAAGAGTTAGAGAAATAATTTTCGTCATTAGAAGTGGTCCAGTTATTTCATTTCCATTATTCAATATTGTATTCTAACTATCAAGAGTGAGCAATATGAAGGCTCCTATTTAGTGGCTTAAGCTAATATATTCAGGGTACCATGCCAAGGTTCTCTTTTTCTAGCTGATAAAAAATTAATTGCAATAATGAATTACAAGAAACTCGCTCCCAAGTACCAATTCTCTTCATGCCTCTTTGGCTTGGGAGTTGGCTTGTGTAGTCAACGCTTAGGTTGGGAGTTTGAGGATTGGTGGAGAGTGAAGAGAGAAACTCGCTCCCATTTAAATTGTCAGAATAATATATTTACCTAATAATTATTTGTTAAAATTGTTCATATTTGTTAATATTGTTTTTTGCGTGTGGAAAAAAAAAAAAAAAGAAAGAAAAGTTTTCAGGAAAATAAAAATTGGTAAAATGTTATTAAACATCTTCCATCGGAGAGTAATAGTATACAAGACATTGGCATATTATCACTTCCGTTGTTATAATTAGCTGGAATTGAAATTTAGATTGTAAACCAAAAAATGTTATCAATCAATAGAGATTAAAAAGCACTATAACTTGTCAAATGCAATAGCGACCTTAATTGGATAATAACAATATTATAGTAAATTTAATTATGCAAAAATTGGATGGCACTATAAAAATGGTGTTTCAATATTGTAGTCTATATATATATATATATATTTCAATTATCAAGCCTTTATAAGTAGTATAGATTTTCAGAAGTATCCTGTTGAGATTTCTTTTTGTTTTCTTTTCTTCTCCTCCTATGAAAAAGATGTGTGCAGGTGCTGTGGTGCTCACTGATTGCATCTTTTGGTTCTTGATCTATCCATTTCTCACGAATATGGATATTAAAATGGACTTTGTAAGTTGAACCCTCTAGTTTGTATTTTTATTTAATTTTTTTTTTTTTCTTTTTTGTTTTGTGGAATCATATTTGTGAGTATAGGAATTCTGCAAACGTATTAGTGGCATATTTGTTTATTTTCAATGCCATGTTCTAGTACCACTTGTATATAAAGAGTCTCTCACTTGAATACACATTGACAGATGTGAACCGAAAAGGCCCCAAACCATGAACTTGTTTTGACTTGAAAGAAGAATGGAAATCATTGTCAAGGTTGAACAATTACAATTAACACTAAAATAAACTATTGCATTTGAATTATTCAATTACTCTGCATGATCAAAAACAGGAAGCATTTGAAGATGCCTTCAGAAATGAAGAGTTTTCTGTGAATAATGATAATAACAAGTTTGTTTCTTTCAGCAACTCAAGTGGAGACCAATTATCTTTTCATCCCATCCGTGATATTTTCTCTCTGAATAATAAAAAGCAGAAATTTGGCTATACGGTCCTTTTGCAATCTGATCAAGATTTATGGAGAACATATTTGGCACTTATTGACAAAGTTCGGTTCAGTTAGTTATAAATCCCTGTCTTGAATTGCAGTATCATGATTTCATGGTCTTTAATTGACCCCTCTCAGAATGTAGCAAGTTAGATGCTGAACATATACATAGACACAAGCAGCCATGCATGCATTATTCATATTTCATGCTAACATTCATGCACATAAAAAATTTATACAACAAAACTTACAGTGATTCGCATCTGCTTATTTTTTTCTTTTATTTTATTTGTGGACCGGGGTTCAAGAAATGTTCTATAATTGCAGCTGACGGCGACTATGCATTCAATCAACGTTGTTTTCCTCCTCGGTGATATGAGTTTGAATTGCTTGGTATGTTACAGTCTTATAATGTCTCCAAACCAATTTATTTTTTATATTCTATTCATGACCACCAAAAGTTTTTTGCTTCCAGCGGTTTCCTTTCTTCCGAGTTGCGTATTTTGTTTTATGGACAGTTACATACGTCATTTTCCAATGGATCATCCATTTCTTTTTTCCAATTTGGTATGTTGGATTCCAATTATTTTATTTTATTATTTTTGTCTTCTTTTAAGCCATTGACAAAATTTAGTTTCAATTCATGGTAATAATTTTTTGTTGCAGGTGGCCATATTCATTTTTTGACTTGTCATCCCCATATGCTCCTTTATGGTATGTATTTATGTACATATGCATATATATTTTCCATAATAATAATAATTATTAGTATTATAATTCCTTTTGTTATTGTTGCTTTCTTCGCATGTATCTAATTTAATCCATTACCTCCTCAGTGTGAGATCAATATTTGACTTTCAACATAAACAAACAAGAAACTAAAAGTTTGTAGCTTAAACATATGCAAAAAGGGTAGTTTTGAAATTTCAAAAGATAAAAATGCACAATGCATGTCCCTTAAAGAGCTGAAATCCCGAAACGAGACAAGAATTCTGGGAGGGAGGTATTTTTCTTTTTTGCATGTATCAAATGAATTAATGGTGGGATTTTGGGATTTCTGGTGCTACAACTGATCAAGATTGAATATTTGTCTTACAATTGAATTAGTTTCTTGGTAAGCACGTAATCATGGGAACCCATATGGAATCATCACAACCCCTATATCATTGATAACCTGTATTGAATCATGTGGCACCACACCATGCAATGAAACAAACACACACACACACACACGTTTCTTTTTGGTAGTTTACGTATTCTATGAAAGGTGGACTCTGTTTGTGGAATAAATCCTGTTCCGACTGACGGCGTCTTGCAGTAGCAACAAATTAAACATGGCAAGAAATTCACGCACCCATTTGTCCCTGTGGGACTCGAACCCTCACCATCCCTTTTGGGAGGTAGAGGAGATAGCCTTTGGTTCATGGAGGAGAAATTTACGGATTAATATATGTCGTAACTTATGAGCTTAATCAATTTCTGTTGACATTAAACATTTATAGGTACTTGGCAGTTGGATTGCTGCATCTCCCATGCTACGGCTTGTTCGCTCTGATAGTAAGGATGAAGCAACTTTGGTTTTCGAGATCATTCCCGGAGTCCTATCGGAGCAGGAGGTGAGATGGTTAATTGGCTCATCACCACAGACAAGTTAAAGCATTACACCGGCGCCAACTCCACTCCCTGCTCTCATCTCACCTACAATATAATTCAGGCTTTTCTTTCCTTAAAAGTGGGGATTCCAAATAATAAGCAGCATTATTTGTCTTGCAAACAAGACACTGCTGATTCCTGAACCCAAATTCATATATGTAATTATATATATATGTATATATATAGATCATAATTGATCAAAATTAAACTATATGCGGCATATAGTGTAGATTGCAAAAGCTGCAAGCATCGTTTTCTTATTTCATTCTTTGCGCACGTTCGGAATTGAGATCTTTCCTACAATAAAAGAGAAGTGACAAACCAGCATGGTGCAAGCCAAGTATGCTGGCCGACTGGCAGAGTGCACTTTCACAAGATCAAGTTAATTCTTGAGCCATTATATATATATATATATATATATATATATATATATATACACACCTCTCTCTATATTGGTTTGGTCTTTAGACTCTGTACTTGATGGTTCTGTTGCCTAATGGGCTTGGTGACCATTTTGTGTGTGGGTCTTGGGGCATGCCCCAAGTGAATATGTAATTATTATTTACGTACTTATTTACTGCAAAAATAAATAAATAATAAAAGGTTGTCGAAATGGAGGTGGTTTGGAAGAGTGGTGGGGAACATAGGTTTTTATATGGAGGTTTAGGCCAGTGTCAGATGGGAGGTTTCGTGCTGTGGTAAGTTTAGAAGTGTTAATTTTTGTGCCGAGTGTCGGGACGTCTGACGAGTTCTGCGTGGGAAAGTGACCTCATGGAATGAAGTCAGATGCTTATGTATCGGTGCATTGGGTGGGACATTTGCCATCCAATTCAAAAGTTTAAAACAAATTACAAGTGGAAATCAAAAGTAATTGTCTCATGTGAGACAAGAATATTCTAATAATAGGCGCTTGTGGTGATAACAATTAAGGATTGGGTTTGTTTTTATAATTTGTAACTAAGCGAGATATAATATTGTTCGTTTTTTATTCTTCGGAGACTTTATAAGGAATCACTCATTCTGATACTATTCCAGATTAAAAACACTTAACTTTGAAGTTTTGGTGGGTTTACAGTTATTATGACTTTAAAAGACGTGTCATAGAAGTGTTAAATTTACATATAGTACTTGTCATATTCACACTCAGACGATGTGGGTGCATTTATAACTTGTTCAGTGTGGTAGTTTACTGGTGCCACGTGCACACGCTTACAAACACCTGTCCACAAGGTCACCAAAATCACTCCCTTTGGGTTTAATGTCATCGTTGGCCACACTTCCGACTGGATTAGGTTTTAATTCTATTTGTAACAATTCTCACCCTGACCAGATATAACATTGTCCGTTTTTGACTCCTTAGTCTAGAGATTTTTTAGCGGGTCACCCATTCTGGTACTACTCCAGGTATTGGATCGGCCGCTTGCCATCAAACTCAAAAATTTAAACTATTAGGTGGTGTTGTATATCAACCCTCACAAGCACAGGTCATTCACATGAGAAAAGAACTCTCTAATATGATCCTTCTCCCCATTGGAGTAAGAGTGGACTAGAGTGGGTTGGAGTTGGACATGCAAAATGGTAAGTAAACCCGCACCAGACCCAAGGTTTTAGTGTGCGCCAAGCCCAAATTACAATAACTTGAAAAAAAATTAAAACTTGTGGATTCAATAATATTCCTTATATATTCAAATATTTCGTTTATAAACTTAAATTGATATAAGTTATTATAATTTTTCTTCAAACTTTTAAAGCAATTGTGTTCCAAGTTAGGTTAGTAATTGTAATCTTAATCTTATTTATATGATTAATATGTAATCATAAAAATATAAAAAGTTATAAAATTTTCATATATTTTAGTTATTCGGGTAAAATCTTTATCTGCATCCCATCTAAGATTTAAACCTAAAATCAATCTCATGATCTTAACTATCTTACGGATGCTAAAAACGGCTCAAGTTAGTTCTGCCTCTGCATTCGGGCTATCCAAGCGATGGACACATTTCAGATGGACTAAAAGTGAATATTAAACCAAGTTAAATTCAACGTACAAGAACTTATTTCAAATCCATTTTAATTTAATTATCTTCCATCCAAATTCGATTCACCCTTAATTTTAAACTGCATATTGAGTTCGGATAATTAAAAGAAAAAAAAAAGAAAAAAAAATCATTTTAGAAGATTTTAAAAAAAAATTATTTCAAGACAAAAAAGTCGTGATTTATTTTAAAAAATTGAAAAATTTATTAAACACTCCACTGAGGTTCGAATCCCTGACTTTCATTTTGAGAAGTGAGAACCTTATATCGTTAGGCCATAGGCCTATTAGTAACAACAATTGTTTTTTTGTTCAACTAAAACATTAGATTATATGAAGATTATTTGGCTAGTAACGTGGTGGAGGAGTTAACTGCAAAGTGATTTTCACAATCTTTGTGCATTCATTGTTGGGTTGAACTCAATGTATACGATGATTTGCTATATATATATATATATATAAACTATTGGGGAAAAAAAAGTTTAAATAGAAAAAAAAAAAAAAAAAAAAAAATAGAGAAAAAAGATGACATCATATTATGAACATTATATAAAATATATTATGTATTCGTCAATTTATATTCTTGACTTAATAAGCTAATTGTGTATCAGGACTCAAACTCAATTTCATAATAATTTTATTGAATTGATTTAAAAATATACATATTCATAATATTAATCAATTTCATAATAATTTCATTAGATTAATTTAAAGAAGAAATCAGTAACGAAATCAGATTGGAAACTCAATCACGAATGCCTTCCATATTCTTACACATGGTACCTGCGCTATTTATTGACGGCTTATGCCTAAATTAAAATAATATATCTAAGTTAATTTAGGTTGATATGTATATATATATTTTTGAAAATTAATTTAGGTTTGATATTTGCGTTTAAATTAAAATACTTGATAAACAGTAATTTTGGCATTAATTAATTGATTTTTAACTTTTTTTTTTACTGTAATAATCAACTAACGAAAGAAGTGTTTGGCAAAGTTAATTAAGGAAGGTTTAGGCTTAATCAAGGCTAACATGGTTGTCGGATCATTTAACTCATATTTTTAATTAGAAAAGAGGTTTTCCATAAGTTGTCAAATTGATTTGGAATTTGTGTAGTGTGTACCCGTTCCAACTTAGACTTTCTATGTGGAGGTGTGTGTGGGGTTCTCTCTCCTGGCTTTTCTCCAGAAGCTACACTAGTTTCTGTTTGTCCACTTCGTCTTCAAGTGAACCAGGCAATCGATCCCCTGAAAATGTCAAAATAATAAAGAATGTGTTGGTAGAAGATTGATTCCATAAAAGAAAAGGTAACCGAATTGTTCTGATTATCTCTACACATATATGCGCGCATATACATATATATATAGAGAGAGAGAGAAGGGGAGGCGACCCTTTAATCTTCTCTCTCTAAAAGTACAGACAGTAGCAAAGCATCTTATTTTTAGTCTCGCGCTTCATTTGAGGAACTGTAAGCATCCCCATATACTAATGTGGCCAAAATAGTTGGGTTTTAGTGTATGTTGCCTATGAACAACAAAATTGTAGTGTTTGGGTGGGGACTAAGGGCATTTATCTTGGTTGTGATTCAATTTTGACATATAGTTTTCACTTTTTGTTTCTAATTATTGATACTTTTTTACCCAATTATCTGCTTCTTTCTTGTGCTCCACTAGATTTCTGTTCTTGTGAATCATATAGGCTTCAAAATAAGTCACAATTTTCCTTTTTTTCTCGACTTTGGTTTGGAGGCTGTATGGTTTTGATTCAATTGATCAGTTGGAAGACTTTGATTTTAGCATGTGTTCTGTCGTACAGATTAGTGGGTATAGGGCAGGCCGTGAGGTTGCCCTATTGTGGCCTGGAGGTCACGGATTCGAGTCAGGAAACAGCCTCTCCGAATGCGGAGGTAAGGTTGTGTGCACTGCTAGCCCTCCCCAGACCCTGCACTGGCTGGAGCCTCGTGCACTGGGCTACCTTCTTGGGTTCACCTTGTTTGTATATCATCAAACATCTGCTTCTGTTTGGAATGCCATACGGCTTCTATCAGCCAAAGTTTGGTTTAGTTGTCTCTCTGTTCTTCTCTGATATTTGGAGTTCTTTCCCAAACTTTTACCTCCTATTGTTTACATGCTAATGGCTTTAGTGATTAAAGTAAATCCAATGCAGTTATTCATTTATCCTTCCAAGATAAAGTTTTGGAAATAATTTGTCATATAATTGTGAAATAGAATCAACAATGTGGCGCAAATAGAAATAACATTGGGTTTCTTAACAGAATTGTCAAACCATACTTGGGAAGGTCATGACTGACAATACAACCGCCCTTAGTTATTGGCTAAACTGGAGGTTCCTCCTCTGTGCAATATGGGTCTTAGCAGCCATGGTAGCATCAGCATTTTTAATATGGAAATATGAAGGTTTCAACAAATCAAGTAATGGAAGAAGAGATAATCAGAGAGAAACTGCAGGGTCTTCATACAAGGATGAAGCTTGGAAGACATGTTTGAGAACAATCCATCCCGCTTGGTTACTTGCTTATAGAATAACTGCTTTCAGTGTGCTTTTAGCATTACTCATCGCAAATGTTGTTGTTGATGGAGGCGGCATATTTTATTATTATACTCAGTAAGGCATCTATTATCTTGATTTTTCATCTTTATTCTCATAATGGCTCCAATGTAACGTGGACGTAGTGAGGTTTGGACGATTATTTTTATTTTTAGTTTGAGAAGCCCAAATTTGGCAATTTGTTGAGAGTTGTTTTTTAGATAAATGATTTCTTTTGGCTATGCATTCTATATATCAATGTAAATTTTTTTATTTTTTATTTTGTTATGCATACCTTTTTTTTCATAAGATGTTGTCGTAGTCTCCACAATAATTTATTATTGTCTCCACAAATTCTAGTTTTCTTGGTTACACAGTTTAAACTTTGAACCTTCCCTAAGAACATTTTGACTAATTTGAAAATAATTCTTGGCTAGGTAGGCTTCTTTCTGACTCTTGCTTAAACTGTTTTTTTATTTAATTGTCATTCATGTTCTGAGCATTCTATAAGAAGTTAGAATCTTCCATTTTACTTTCAACTAAACCTATAATGTGAAGACTTTGAAATCCTTCCATTAGAAGAAGAACATGACATGAAAAAATGGTTGATCACGAAAAATAAGGATCAAATGTTGCCCACTTTGCTGACATTTTTTTTTTGGGGTGCTGAACAGGTGGACATTTGCATTGGTGACAATATATTTTGGGGTATTTCTTCCATCCCTAAACGCTCCTACATAGATTTGTTTATGTGTGTGTGGGTGTGTGTATTTGGTTAAATTTGGTAGACATGGAAATTTAATGAACCTCTTTAATTTTCAACTTTTTGGAACTTTAAGAAGAAGGGCCTATATAGTAATTGTATATGTTTGTTCAGATAATTAATAGAATAAAATTTTCCACCGATATAAAAATGAAAATGTAAGTGTCATTGATTCAATTGTTCAAAATTTCTTTTAATTTAAATTTTGTGTTAATGTCAATTTTTGACTTAGGAATGTTCATTGTTATGTAAATATGGTGCTTATGTTCTCACTTCTCAATTCCAATTTGTAGCTTGGATCTTCATTATCCATTTATGGATGTTGCCAAAATTGCAATGAAGTTGGTGGTGATAGGGTTGATCGAGTGGATTTAGATGCAGAGCGAGGCACTTACGTGGCTCCCACTTTTGGGGAAAATGAAAATATGCCCACCGTGTCCAAAATCTTGAATACCCATGAAGAACCTCATGTTCGTAAACCTGCCAGCATATGGGGCTATACCTTTCAAATTACTTTCCAGGTAAGTGCTCTCCATCAATTCTGTTTCTTCCCTGAGCTAATTTACAGAAACTTGTAACTATACAAAATAGTATCCAAGATTCCCATTCAGTTGTCATCTATTGATTCTCTAGATCGTGCTTAGAATGCAACAGTATCATTTCTCGGTTCTTGGTCCATTATCTTGGAGAAATCAGTTATTTAATAATATAATATCTGATTTCTTATATAATCTCGCGGCTCAAACCTATGACCCACAGAGTTGAACTGCTAGCCTAGCGATCTGTCTCTACACGGATCTACATACAGTTTGGGTTTCAAACATTGAGTAAGAACTTTGTTTTTATTCCCACTATTGAAAATATGATTGTTAGGGAGGAAGTAATGTTAAAATTACTGTGTCACCATTTGTGTTCAAATATAACAGTTTGAATTGTTTGAGCATATCCGTTTATGATTTTACCTCCAAACCGAAGTGGAAACAACAGTTAGTCCTGGCATAACATTATAAATAAACGATGGACATCAATGGGCCAAAGACATTTGATATAAACCCGCATAGAGAAATACTAGCAGGGAATCAGGGATATGATGCTCAATCTTAACCTGGCTAGCTTTTAATCAAGATGTATGGAAAGTTGGAAACCAAGCATGCATGGTCAGTGGTGGACCAGAAATGTCTTGGAGTCCTCTATTGGAGATGAATTGAGACTAAGGCTACTAAGCACTTACTTAGTGGAAGTGCTTGTAGAACGCAAACATGCCTGTGATATGTGAGTCATAAGCTTAACATTAACCACGTTGGTTCGCTGTTTATGCTGTCCTTCTTTATATAAACAATGATACCTTGTGCTTATTCATCCTGATTGATATTTGTCTTTTAATTTTTAACTAAAAAAACTTGATTTGTTTGAGCTAAATTTCTTATTCTATTTATTTTTCATTTTGTGAGGGCATTGGTGCACCGTTAAGGTTGCTCCATTGTGACTTGGAGGTCATGGGTTAGAAATGGGAATGTGGACTTAAGGCTGCATACACCTGATCCTCTCTTGGCCATGCAGTGGTGGGAGCCTCGTGCACTAGGCTAACCCATTTTTAAATTTTCATTTTCTAGATATTGGGCTAATAATAGGCTCTCAAACTTATTTTGTCATTAAGAAGTGAATTTGTACAAATTATTTTGCAATCCCTATTTTGTTTTGTGTCACCCATTCCTCCAATATTACCAATCAGATGTCTCCTATTTATGAAAAAAAAATAAAAAAAATTAGATGTCTCCTAGTCATGAAAAAGTAGCAGTTTTATAGAACTTACCAAATTTCCTCTACTCACTTCAATTCTAAGAAGCACGGGACTCGGATACGGGACACGACACTGAGAGAAGTGGAAAGGAGATGGAGAGAGATCATGTGTGGTGAGGAGTGTGCACTATTGCATCTTACCCGGGTAGATTTGGTGTGAGGGCTATGATGGTTTATTCCTACTAGCTGAAACACTCATATTGCATGCGAGAGATTAGCTACAAAATAAACTACCTTATTATGAAGAATCTATTCTTTGATGACCAGTTGTTTTAGTTAGCATAGTTGGAATATAAGAATTGTGACATTTACAAGAAACATACTTCTAACTTCTTTTTTTTTTTTTTTTGATAAGTAAAAATTGTATAAAAAACGCTCAAAAGGGGAGCGCATCCCAAAGGAACAACAAGAGGCAAAAACCTTTAAGCCTTTAAAGAGGCCAAAAAATCAACTATGTCCTCAATAGATTTATAATCTCTACCTGAAACCCAACAAAAAAGAGTGGAAACAATGGAGAATTTCAGAACAGAAATAGGTAACTCTTTTCCCTCAAAATATCTCATGTTTCTCTCAAGCCAAATGCACCACCAAATGCAAAGAGGCGTAGCCCTCCAAGCGTCTCGAGTGTGAGACCCCACAGAACAGCCTTTCCAAGCCTCAATCAAACCTCTGGACGAGCCAGGCATAACCCACAAAAAACCAAACAAGCCTAGCATCAAATCCCAACATTCCTTGGCCAAAGGACAATGTAAAAGAAGATGATCCACTGACTCTTCATCCCGACGGCACATATAGCACCGATTAACCACCACCTGATTCCGTCTTCACAAATTATCTTGAGTCAAAATCTTTCCCAAAATAGAGGTCCAAGCAAAAAAGGCCACCTTAAGAGGAGCCTTAGAACGCCAAACTGCCTTCCACGGGAAAGGACCTTCAGGCTCTTGAGTGAGACACCTGAAGAAAGACCGCACTTCAAAGCGGCCCTGAGCATTGGGAGCCCAAATCCAAACATTAGAATCACCGACCATAACACCCTGCCGATACAGCACTTCCAGGAGACGGATGGCATCGTCAACTTCCCAATCCTGAAACAGACGCCTGAATCGAGCATCCCAAACCAATCTTCCATTATCAAGATGATAACAGTTGATCACCCTGGCCTGCCTATCCGAAACAATCCTGAACAGTCGAGGGAAAGCAAGAGCTAAAGGGATGTCCCCACACCAGACATCCTCCGAAAAACTAATCCGCCTACCATCTCTGAGACGAAACCGGACATGATTGGAAAAATCAACCCAGCCCTGTCGAATAAACTTCCAAACCCCCACACCCTTAGGACCACGCACCTCAAGAGAGCACCACCCTCCTCTACTCTCCCCAAATCTACTCATCACGACCCTCCTCCAAAGCCAATGCCTTTCCATAACCATTTCCCAAGGAGAGCTTTATTGAAATGCACCAATCTTCTAAGCCCCAACCCTCCATTCCGGATCGGCCTACAAACTTGCTCCCTCACCCCCCCCCCCCCCCCCCCCCCCCCCCAAACAAAAAATTGCGCTGTAAACGCTCAATCTTCTCCGCCACCGAGGAAGGAATTTGGAACAGAGAAATAAAATAGGTGGGAAGACAAGAAAGGGTACTCTTAATCAGAGTTACCCGCCCCCCTTTGGACAAATACTGCTTCTTCCACCCCGCCAACCGCTTCTCAAACCTATCCACGACTGGATCCCAAACCCTCTTTGTGAAGTGCTCATCACCTATTCACTGATAACTTGAGTAAATTAATTTAATTTTATAATTGGTCGGAAATGGGAACACTGGTCAAATAACTATAAAGATATCTGATTAGTGGACTACCGAACTCATTTCAATTACGAAAATGTTATGATGAGGGTGCTCTCACTTGAGCTTGCTTCCTTATTCATTGGATCATGTGTCAAGTGTTAGGTGATGTCATGCACTCCATCCAATGGATGAGGGCGCGAGCTCATCGTGAGAGTTCCCTCATCGTAGCATTGCTCTTTTAGTTATTATGTTTGTAATCATGAATATTTTTATTAAAATTCTCATAATATTTTTACATATTTATATTAATTTTAAAGTTAAGTTGACTAGTGTTACAAATTTGAAGTTAACTTTAAAATGATTTAATGTTATTCACATTGACAATCGAAGATGTTTTTTAACTTTAATCCATGTCATTGGCATGAAACTCGATGAAGTAAAATAGTTATTAAAACGTGAAATGTCCAAAAAAGAGGCAAAAGACCCTTCAAAAATATAATTCAATCAAAAAATGTTGCAAGTTATTCTTACATGAGAATAAACCCGACAAAGATATCTTAAATGCCCATTCATATATAAAAATCTTATGCAAGAGCTACATTGTTGTATCAAGTGCCATTCCATCAATCGCCATCTTGGGTCCTCAATCTTTACCCCACTTCTCTTCACGAAGCCATCATTAACATTACCATATACACCATTACTAATGTCAACCTTAACATTAGGAGAAATTATTATGATCTAGGACCATCTAATTTCTACCATTAACATCAGGAGAAATTATTATGGTCTAGGACCATCTAATTTTTCAACCTTAACATGGGTTTTGATTGGACTAAACCACCAAGTAGGTTTTGGTCCAGGACCATTAAATAATTTCTCTAACATCAGACAAAGCTATTCTTATATCCGCGTGGCCAAAAATATAGCGACCATATTTCTCCATGATCATAGGCCATTAGAGCATTGCACTCAAATCCTAGGGGGGAGAAGAGAGAGAGAGAGTCTTTTTCTAGAGCCTCCTTGTCTTCGTTCACACTTTCACTTTGTACACCCTACAACAATGTTCTAGTGTCACATTCTTTTTTTTTGATAAATAAAATTTTTTTTAAAAACGCTCAAAAGGGGAGTGGATCCCAAGAAAAAAACAAAAGACCACAAAGGCCTCAAGCCTTCAAGGAGGCCAAAAAGTCAACAATCTCCTCCAACAATCTATGATCTCTCCCTGAAACCCAACAAACAAGAGTGGAAAGAATCGAGAATTTAAGCACCGAAATCGACATCGCCTTTCCTTCAAAATATCTCATATTCCTTTCAAGCCAAATACACCACCACACACAAAGTAGCGTAGCCCTCCACACATCTTGACTGTGGGGGCAACCTCTCCACCCCTCAGTCAACCCTCTAGCAGATCCTGGCATAACCCAAGAAAACCCAAATAAGTTAATCATCAAATCCCAACACTCTCTAGCCAAAGAGCAATGGATGAGAAGATGATCCACTGATTCCTCATCACGAAGACACATATAACAACGATTGACCACCACTTGGCTTCTCCTTCTCAAATTATTCTGGGTTAAGATCCTACCTAGAACCGAAGTCCACACAAAGAAAGCCACCTTGAGAGGAGCCTCAATCAACCCTCTAGTGTCACATTCTTGCACCTCAGCTTCAGTATCAATTAGGTATTAGGGGTAATATCAAATCAGCATTTCTTAAACAGGAGCTTAAAATTATTTCACAGTTCGGTTTTTAGAACTAGGATTTCTTATTTTAGGTTTTTATTTAAAAGGAATACTTGTACGGAATACTTTAGAGTGGAGAATTTTTTGGAGTTTTTAATATTTTTCAGAAAAAGTGTATCATTTGGACAACCAGGCTTGAAAGGAATGGAACTTTTAAAGCATATCAACATCCAATCACAATGATACATTAGCCAATTAAAAGTCTTATTCTAATATACATTTATTAGAATGGTTGAGTTCATTAAGAGAAATTTAATTAAGGGAAGTCCACAAAAACAAAACATACATCAAACATATTTAAGAGTTAGAGAATAATTTTATACGCCATTAGAAGTGGTCCAATTCTTTCATTTTCATTGTTGATTTTTGTGACTAATCAAGAGTGAACAATATGAAGGCTCCTATTTATCGACTTAAGCTAATATATTCAGGGTACCATGTCAAGGTTCTGTCTTTTAGCTTTAAAAAATGTAATTGCGATAATAAAGTACAAGAAAGTCGCTCCCAAGTACCAATCCTCTTCAAGCCTCTTCTGCTTGGGAGTTGGCTTATGTAGTCAACCCTTAGGTCGGGAGTTCGAGGATTGGTGAAGAGAGAAAAGAGAAACTCGCTCCCAAGTAAATTGTCAGAATATAATTATTACTGAGTAATTATTTATTAATATTGTTTTTCGTGAGTGACAGTTTTTTTTATTGCTTTTAGTAAAATAAAAATTGTTAAATTTTTTGTTAAACATCTTGCATCAGATATTTATAGTATACCAGATATTGGCATGGTATCACTTACTCTGTTTTAATTAGCTTGAATTGAAAAGTAGATTGTGAACCAAAAATGTTATCAATCAATTGAGAAAAATTGCACTATAACTTGTCAAATTCAATAGCGGCCTTAATTGGATAATAATGTATTCTTGTAAATTTAATTGTGCAAAAATAACATAGCACTATATCTGTAGTTTGAGTATTGTCATCTAATTTTTATTTTTTTTCCAATTATCAACGTATAGATATTTCAGAAGTATCCTGTTGAGATTTCTTTTTCATTTCTTTTCTTCTCCTCCTGTGAAAAGATGTGTGCAGGTGCCATGGTGCTCACTGATAGCGTCTTTTGGTTCGTGATCTATCCATTTCTCACTGACAGAGATTTCAAATTGAATTTTGTAAGTTTGAGCCCTCTATTAGTGGCATATTTTTATTATTATTTTAATGACGGGTTCTAGTACCACTTGTATATAAGGAGCCTCTCACTTGAATACACATTTACAAATGTGAACTGAAAAGGCCCCCAGCCATGAACTTGTTTTGACTTGAAAGAAGAATGGGAATCATTGTCGAGGTTGAACAACTACAATTAACACTGAAATAAACTATTGCATTTGAATTATTCAATTCCTCTGCATGATAAAAAAAGGGAAACATTTGAAGATGCCTTTATAAATGAAGAGTTTCCTGTGACTAATGATAATAATAAGTCTTGTTTCTTTCAGCAACTCAAGTGGAGACCAATCCTCTTTTCATCCCATTGTGTGATATTTTTCTGTATGAATAATAAAAAGCAGAAATTTGGCAAAATGATCCTGGAGAGCATATTTGGAAATTATTGACAAAGTTCAGTGCAGTTAGTTATAAATCCCTGTCTTGAATTGCCGTATCATTATTTAATGGTCATTAATTGACCCCTCTCAGAATGTAGTAAGTTAGATGCTGAACATATACATAGACACAAGCATCCATGAATGCATCATTCATATTTCATGCTAACATTCATGCACATAAAAAATTTATACAACAAAACGTACAATGATTTACATCTGCTTTTATTTATTTATTTGTTGATCGGGTTGAGGAAATGTTCTTTAATTGCAGCTGATGGTGATTATGCATTCAATCAACGTTGTTTTCCTCCTCGGTGAAGTTATTTTGAATTGCTTGGTATGTTACAGTCTCATAATGTTTCAAAACCAATTTATTTTTGATATTTTATCCATGACCACCAAAAGTTTTCTGCTCCCAGCGGTTCCCTTTCTTCCGAGTAGCGTATTTTGTTTTATGGACAGTTATATACGTCATTTTCCAATGGATCACCCATGCTTTTATTTCACTGTGGTATGTTGGATTCCAATTATTTTACCCCCCCCTTTTTTTTTTAGTCTTTTTAAGCCATTGACAAAATTTAGTTTCAATTCATGATAATAATTTCTTGTTGCAGGTGGCCATACGCATTTTTTGACTTGTCATCCCCATATGCTCCCCTGTGGTATGTATTTATGTCATATGCATGTATATTTTCCTTAATAATAATAATTACTAGTATTATAGGTCCTTTTATTATTGTTGCTATCGTCACATGTATCTAATCCAATCCATTAGCTCTGTTTGAGATCAATATCCAACATAAACAAACAAGAAACTATTAGCAAAAAAAATCGTTTTGGGGATAGTGAACATCATTCTTTTAGAACTTTAAAAAGATTTCTTAATTAATATTAATATTAATATTAAAATATATATAAATTATAAAATTTAAATTTGTATATCAAAATGAGTTCCTTAATAATAATATTATATATGTTTCAATTAGTTATTTACTTTAAAAAGACTTCTTACTTTAAAAACTGACTTATTTAAATTATATATATATATATGATAGGAACTCAAAATATGATTAGAAACTTTTTTAAAAAATAAAATAAATATATTATAGAAACTCAAAGTCTCTTTGTACTTTTAATATTATAATATATATATTCTTTTTGGTAGTTTATCTATTCTATAAAAAGTGGAGTCAGTTAAAAGAGTTGATGGCTACTGTTTTTGGAATTTATTATGGGAGAGAATTCTACCTAATAAAGTAATAGTAATATTTGTTGTAGTGAATGAGTTTAATCATGTTCTGTTGACATTAAAAATTTATAGGTATTTGGCAATTGGATTGCTGCATCTCCCATGCTACGGCTTTTTCGCTCTGATAGTAAAGATGAAGCAATTTTGGTTTTCGAGATCATTCCCGAATTCCTATCGAAGCATGAGGTGAGAAAGTTAATTGGCAAAGCACCAGAGACAAGTTAAGCACTGGTGCCAACTCCATTTCCTCTCTTATCTCACCTACAGTAATTCAAGCTTCTTTTCTTAGAGGGGATTCCACAGGTAGTCCAACTGTAAAAAAAAACTGGGTAGTTATCGAGTAGAGATATATTTTTTCTTCTCTTGATATTATTTCTGGGAGAACTGATGATGCTATAGAAAATGAACCTTTCGATGAGGGAATAATCGGTATACAATTTGTTGCATGATGATGATGCATGGTTTATTCCTAGGATAATGAACTAAACATTGGTGTTCTTCCTTGCAAATGCAATTTTGTTCTACAATGTTGCGTTTGGAAGAACCGGGAAAAAATGAGTTCAAACTTTAAAATAAATTTTCTTCAATTCCAATCCCGGGCTCCATTTTGGTACTTCCAGCATCATGTTTTTCTTATGTGTTGTCTTCGTAATTATTTTTTTTCTTTTCACTTTTTTCTCCTTAAGCAGCATTATTTGCCGTCGACTCCTGAACCCAAATTCAAATGTGTTATGTGATTACTAAAAATAGTAGAAAAGATATCTAGGAAGAAAAAAAGAGAATGAAGCCTCAAAATTCAATGATCAATGCCAAAGCTTGAAGAATGGGATAGATAGGTTGGTAAGGGTTTAGGATTCAATGTCAAAAGAATTTTGAATCTTTCTTTGAAATTCACATCTATATGATCTTAAACATCATTTTTTATCCTAAAACAACCTAGAAGCCGACTGATACATTGTATTAGTCGAATGGTACTCTAAACCAGCCGGTTGGTTTATGCCAAATTTGAATTCAAACGGGTAATTTTGCATTTAATGCACCACTAACTACCTCTAACCTATGAAGCACCGACATGGCAATGTGTAGCAGCGTACCAGTGTCGGACACATGTCCGATACGGACACACATGTCAGAGCTCTGGACACGTGTTGGACACGTGAAAAACATATCCCATTATTTTATATATTTTTTGCCAATCAAGTTTAAAAAAAAAAAAATGAAAGAGAAAGAAGAAGATGATAGCACGCGCGGATCTACGAAATATATGCTCAACGATCGCTGCCAGCCAACTCTTTCACTTCGGATGTCCCAAACTCAACGACAGCTGAGGCTCACGTCGCTCCTATAACAATTGACTTGTGAAAAAAAGGAAGATAAGAATAGGCAATTGAAAAAGGAGGTGAACTGGTGAAGAGATGGCAGATGAACACAACTCTCTCTCTCTCTCTCTCTCTCTCTTCATGCGACACAACACTTTCTCTCTCTTGGCATAATGACCTAGAAGGTCTTAGATTCGGCAGAATGACCTAGAAGTTTGCCTTACGGGCTGTCTCTCTGGGCCTACTATGGCCATACGTTTTTTGATCATTTCTTTTTGGGCCTATTGAATACAGCTTGCTAAAGCTTGTTTAGTTCCATGTATTTTTAACCTAGCTTTAGCCCACCTAATTATCTACATTATTATATATAATTGATTAATCTTTCAAAAATAAAAAATAAATAAAGAAATATGAGATGTATGGTGGGACTAATTTAAATAGATTATATTTATGAATATAAATGAAAAATTGAGAAAAGAATAATTTCTTTTATATAATAATAAATTATATTATTTTTTTATTACCGTATCATTGCCGTGTCCGTGTCCTGTTTTTTTTTAAATTACCGTATTGCCGTATCCGTGTCGTATCGTATCCGTGTCGTATCGTACTCGTGTCCCGTGTCCGTGTTCGTGCTTCATAGCCTCTAACATCTATTTTCCGTTTTATCTATATATATATATATGGATGGGGCATTTATGAATGCTACGCCTGAGAAACATTTATGAAATATAAGAGTTATCATTTGAGCATTCAACACAATATTCCTTCTCTTTCTCATATCAATCAATAGACTTGAGATTCTTTATTACTCTAGTCTTGTAAGCATTTCTTTGAACATAAATCTTTAAGAGATACATTCGTTGTATTTCAATCTTTCTACAAATTTATTGTAAGGGACTCAAAGGAAGTCTAAAAGAAGGTGATTCTCTTAGCAAGAAAGGAGAAACAAGTTTGCTTTTTGTAAAGGTTTCTTTTCCATCATTCTCAGAAGCCATAGTGGATTTGGAAAAGTCTGAAAAGGAATCTTGAGCTGAGGAGTAGGAGTTCCGAATCTCTTTAAATAATCGTGTCATTTGTGTTTTTTTCTTCTTCCTTTCTTTTATTTATGTTATGCTTATTTTGAATTTATTCATTATTGCACAATCTAAATAGATTTACACATTGTCTTGCATAATTTTTAAATTGAAAAAATTAGCTATTGTTTGCCTCTATTCACCCCCTACAGTCAATACTTAGGTAACAATTGGTGTGACGGTCTGAATTTCTATAACCCAGAGCGTCAACGAGTAACCCGAAACCTGAACCGATAATGAGTCCAAATGCGGAAACGAAAACAAAGAAAGAGGTCATTAGAGGCAAACACCACCTCTAGGATAACAGAAGATCCTCTCGAGGTGACAACACACAACTTGAATAGATATGCTAAAGAGACGAATAAAAACAAGGGAATCATCCCAAGAATGAATAAAACTAAGGACTAGATAGTCATAATGACAGACGAGACACCATATTATGTCCAAATGATGCATTCGTACCAATGCAATGGAATCTAAGGTGTCCTAAGTCAGTAGGACGTGACAAAGAAGGAATGAAGGAGAAAATAACAAAAAGCAAGGACCTGCCTAGAACCGGTAGACTGAAGGAACCCATTGGTCGACCAAAATGGGCAAACCAGGTCCTCAATAGCAAGAGTAAACTGGTTGACCGAAATGAGGCAACGACTACCGGTCGACCAAAATGAGGTCTCAATAGTGAAAAGGTATACTGATTAAATCTACAGTAGAATGTAATAGATACTGGTCAACCGAAATGAAGGTACTGGTCGACCGATAGAGCTCGAAAATGTAGAAAATGGTCTGCATCAGGGTTTATGGTTCAAAGCATCTCCTAAGTCAATCTCGAACATGCCCAATGCAAAATAAATAACAAACATGGTCCAACTAAGACATCTACGCATGGCAAGGACATTCGTGAACCCAAGAAGTGTGTGAAGCATATATAGGTGTGCACTTAAAAATCTCTGGTAATAGCTGACAAGGCCAAGAAAACTCCGGATCTTGAACACACTCTTCGGACGTTCCTAATCCATCACTGCCTCAATCTTCGACGGATCAACTGAAACACCACCTCCTGAAACAACATGTCCAAGGAACTTCACCTCGGATAGCCAAAACTAGCATTTCTCGTACTTAGCATACAACCGATTATCCCTAAGGATCTGTAGAACCGTTTTCAAGTGATAATCATGCTCTTCTTTCGAAGATGAGTACATGAGAATGCTGTCAACAAACACCACCACAAACTCATCAAGATAGACACTAAATACACAGTTCATTAAGTCCATAAAAGCCGCTGGAGCATTGGTTAAACCAAATGGCATCACCAGGAACTCGTAATGGCCATATCGTGTGTGGAAAACGGTCTTAGAGATATCCTCATCCTTGACCCTCAAGTAATAGTATCCTGACCTCAAGTCGATCTTCGAAAAGCAAGTCGCTTCCTTCAACTGACCAAACAAGTCATTTATCCTTGGCAATGAATACCTGTGTTTGATCGTAGCGTGATTCAATTTGCAATAATCGAGGCAAAGTCTTAATGACCCATCCTTTTTCTTCGCAAAAAGAACCAGTGCTCCCCACGGTGAAGCATTAGGACGAATAAAGCCCTTAGCTTTCAAGTCATCCAATTGTCTCTTCAACTCAATCAGCTCTGCCGGTGCCATGCGGTACGGTGCTATAGAGATGGGCATTGTACCGAGTATGACATCAATGGCAAACACTGCTTCTCGTATAAGAGACAACTTTGTCAACTCCTCTGGAAAAATATCTAAGAACTCATTAACAACTGTTGGAAGAACACGACCTAAACTCGTTTCTTCTTCGACTTGCAAACTATCTAAGTAAGACCTGTGACGACTCTAATCACCGATGCGGTAAACAATCGTAAGGTGGGAATCACTCAGATCTCCCTCGAAGTGAAAACAATCTCCTTTGGAGTGCAAACAGTCACTCTCCCTCGGAAGTAGTCGATCGAGGCCCGAAAGAAAAACAACCAGTCCATCCTGAGAATGACGTCAAAACCCGTCATGTCGAGAAGGATGAAATCGAACTCTAAAGTCCGCTTAGTTATCTTAATAGCACAACCCCGACAAACCCCGTCCAAAGAAACTAGACCTCCGACTTGCGTGTCAACACAAAGGAAACTGTCCCGAAAGATGTTCTCTAAACCCAATGAATGTGCGAAAGATGATGAAATAAAAGAATAAGAATCACCTATGTCAATCAAAACTCTAGCCCAAAAACTGAACACATGAAAGATACTTCGAACAACTGAAGGTCCCGCAAAAGAATCCTCTTTTGGAATAGCATAAACTCGACCCTGAGACCCTGAACTCTGTTGTCCACTACCCTGGTGGCCTAACTGATGGGTAGAAGTGCTAGGCATAGGGCCTCTAGCTGGATGAGTGCCAACTGGCTGCAGTGTCTGAGGAGCTCTAAACCCCGACTGTGCCCTTATGGACTGCGTCGATGCTGCCTAAGAACCTGCACCACTGCGTAAACCACCCTGCAATCGTGAGCACTCTCTCTTGATATGGCCCGGCTGCTTGCAGTAATGGCAAACTCCCGATCCCCCCTTAGGAGAAGCTGAACGCTGACTAGCTTGAGGCTGAAGCTAGGCAACGAGGCTTGATGTGCCCCAACTGCTAGCAATAGTGATAAAACATACCTCAGGCAGATCCCAAAGACAGGGAAACCGTAGGTGCAGAACGAGTCTGCTACAGTGGCCCCCGTAAATGAGCAGTGTCTTAGCGTTTAACCCTCTTCGACTAGCCTCAGAAGAAGAAGCCTTACCCGAAAATGGTCTCCTCGAACCCCTGATCCTCAATCGATATCTGTCCTCCTAGGAATGCCCATTCCTCTGATGAGCTCCGTGTCGTTGACCTGCTCATCATCAATGAGACGCGAAGACTCTCCCCGTGTCGTAACCATGACGTTATAAGCACAAAGGGAATAGATTAACATAGACGTAAGTCACTAATCATTCCGCGTACTTATGACCACATGCCACTCACTCGACGAAAGCATGAAACATGATGATTTAAGCAAACATACAAGTCATGTTAAGGCAAATAAGAAATGCTTCAGAACACTTAGTCACATAAACA